GGAATGACTTCCAGAAAACAGATGGTAGCAATGCCGAAGACGTTCTTGAATTTGGAGAAAGCTGGAAACTGCATGACAAACAGTAAGTTTATTTCAGTATATTAATAAAAATGTTTGCGCCATGAATATTAATTAAAGATATTAAAAAGATAATTTTATTTCAAAATTCAGACAATTTATAAAACTATTATTTTTTTCCTACTCACATTATAGATGATTATAGGAATTCCACCACTGACGAAAGGACGAGCGTGGTTACAGCCTGATTAGTTTTTTTAGAAATCTATATTTTTCGGCATTTTCTGGTGATGGTTATATGAGAAATACACCAATTCTGATATTTCTATTTGAAGTTAGGCAGCATGGGTATTATACCTAATGACATTATAACACGTGGTTGATCACATTCTTCGGGAAATTAGTAGATAAGTAAAACATATATTGCTCAACAAGGTTAGTTCAATAAAAAGATGTGGAAAAGCAGATGTATGAGTTTCAATTTGCAAATGGTATGTATTTATAGTCAACAATCGCCAATTGCAAGATGACTTTCGGCATTTGCAAGTTGATGGTTCCCCATAACGCTTAGTATGCAACAGTCGGATTCAGGAGGGCGGAACACATCAGCAACTAAAATGCGATTTTATTTGAAGGCACCAACCTCCATCCACAACATGTCAAAATGAAGAGTTACCAAGTCAAATCTAATTTAGCAAGAAACATAACATAAGAAAATAACGTATGACGGGTAAATTTTCACCAATCTACTTCTGAGCGATAAAAGTCCAATACAGTTTCTTCTACGGGGTTGGAAGTTGGCAATGTCTCGATTACAAAATGTGTTACAACAATGTATATGATGAATAATGCGCTGAAGAATATTTGTGGCATGTGATAGATATACATGGTATCTGCCTCTCGTCTCTCGTCGACTTAAAAGTAATGAATCTGATCACGAATAAGGTTTGTGGTGTAAAGTCTTTCGGACTTTAGGTCTAAGTTTTTTAGTCTTTCATCAGTAATCCTACCAAAACGTGGACATCTTTATAATAGGGTATTGAAATATCAAATTGCTATCAAAGAAACTGATATAAACAAGCATGATCTTTTGAAGTATACACCCCACTGTCTACGTCAACAGTTCCCTTTGTAACATTCGTAGTACTGATCAAACCTATTTGTATTATCTGTTCCGTTGATGGAAAA